CCTCTGGGCGTGAAATTATATTTTAGGAATGTCGGTTATCTGACATAATTATATATATATGTATAGTTTGCAGTAGCTCTGTGGCGTAGAGATTGAGCAACTTTCGCAATGGTCGGTTACAGGATGGGTGACCAAAAAATTATTATCTGCAGCTACTCGGTGCTTCGGAAGGCCGTTAAAGCGATGGCACCGGCTGCATTTGCAGCCGTTAATGACCTCCAATCCGCATTGGGGCAGCGTTTGAGGTTATAGTCCATCCTTTATAATCATCCATAAGGAAAACCTGAGCCCTTGCAGTGACGATGTAAAAAGGCTGATGATGATATTGATAAGTTACATCGTTTTAGGAGTTAGCGCGTGTCGGTCAACGACGCGGAGGAGAAGCAACTTTCGCTAGTGTCATAGGATGCGTTTTGATCAGCTGTTTTAAAATTGAAATCTATCACTATCCCTTTCAATAACCTTAAAACGCTTATCTTAAAAGGGGCCGTTATATCGAATTCGACGGAAGTCGAATATCTGGACGTCACATTCGACCAAAACAACCCTATGCTGTCGAGTAACTGGGGCGAAATGGGGAATAAATCCCAAAGTAGTCCTATGGATTACATCGCCATTGTAAGGCCAGCGGTGACATACAAGGTCTCCCGCCGTAGTTTTGCGAACCATTGGCGTAGTTTTCGACTTTCGCAAGTGCTCTATAAAAGCCTAAACTGAATAAATAAATTTTGATTTTGATATGCCAGCGTCGTATGGTGGAAGAAAGCCACACAAACTACAGTAATTAACAAACCGAATGGCTTGCAAAGAACGGCATGCCTCATGGCAACCGGTGCCATGTCTACCACTCCAGGAGCTGCTCTGAATGCCCTGCTTAACTTACCGCCTCTGTTTTTATTTATAATAAAAGAGGCGAAAGCTAGCATCTACAGAGTAGAAGTAACTAGTAAAAAAAACTGGCATTCTCAAGCACTGAGATGTCTATATCAAACAGTCCATGAGAACACACCTCTAGCAATGACCACAGACGTCGTGACTCCGCTATGTAACTTTGAAAGAAATTACTCAATGGAGACACCGAGCAGAGAGGAATGGTCAGAGGAATATGACCTCTGCAAAACAGGAACCTAGTCTCGTTCACAGATGGCTCGGAAATGAGTCGTAATGTTAGGATGTGGAAATATATGGTGTAAAACCGAAATTCAACAAAAGTGTGAATCTTGGGATAAACGCTACTGTTTTCCAGGCTGAAGTATACGCCATTTTAGAATATGTGGAAGCTAATCGCCAACAAATCAAACCATTTACATATACTTTGATAGTCAAGCAGCACTCAATGCCATACATTCGAGCGTGATAAATTCGAAACTGATAAAGGACTGTATTGACAGATTGAATGAACTGAGGCAAAAGAATAAAATTATTCGTAAATGGGTACCAGGACACTCGGGCATCATCGGCAATGTAAAAGCGGATGAATTAGCAAGGAATGGAGCACAGGGACTACAAATAGGACCAGAGCCCTTTTGTGGTATCCCAAAAAACCATATGATACAAATTCTAAAGAATGACCTGCAAAGGGATTTAAAAAAAATACTGTCACCATCAGCCGGGATTAAATCACGCTAAAGCCCTAATTAAAGGTCATGCACGAAAACTAGCTGAAGAGCTCTTGAAGCTAAACAGAGTAAATATAAGTACAATTGTACGAACCTTATCTGGACACTGCAAATTAATAAATAGTAGTGATTGTGTTAAAATATACGATTCTGTGTTAATTAGGTAACAATATATTTTTATTTCGTTAGTAATATGGATCATTAACACGTTTTATTGATACTTTACCTATTTCTTATTATGAGATTAATGACGCAGATAAGAGCGTCGGTCTGCAATCAATTGCGGTTGTTGACATCAAGCACCAATCGTTTATATGTAACGAACATTAACTTTAGTACCAGGTTTAAGCCATTAACGTTCTTATTTGTTCTTATAATTTTGTTGAAATCATATCATCTTCGACCCTATTACGTCCCCACTGTAAGAACTCAGACCTTCCCTATTATCTCACGGAGGATGAGCCATGTCACTCCACGCTCGCCCAATGCGGATTGGAGGGTGTTAACGACTGGAAATGCAGCCGGAACCAACGGTTGCATAACGTGCCATCCGAAGCACAGGGTAGCTCGAAATAATTTTTTTTGGTCACCCATCCCATGATCGACCCTTGCGAAAGTTGCTTAACAACAACGATCGCGGGCGAGTTCATCCGCTATGCCACCGAGCTCTGAAACATCTCGTGAAGATAATTTGAGCATCAGAGGCAGTGTCAGTAGTCCACTTAATTCTCTAGCCATAAGATAAGACGTGTTAGCTATGTTATGGCGATTTTTAGTTTTACTTCACTACTTTGTCTATAAATTTGGAATTAACGGACTTAAGTTGTACTTATAATTTTGTTGTAACTGATATGAAATCCATAATCCTCATTCTTTATTTTTCGTACGTCGATAATAAAGACTCATAATATCATATCAAAGTAGTAAAACGACACGAAATGTCGCCATAACATCGACATAACGTATTTAGGAGATCATAGTCTATGGCTAGATGACTAAAAAATTTGGCAGCCTCACTCCGGATCCTACCTCCGTTGCATTCTGACTCATAAGTTATCGAAAACAGTGTTCCTTTGGAGTCGTAATAAGCGCATCGGGAACAGACGAACTTTCGTTTTCGAAGAAACAGATCTTCATTCATCTTAAAATAAACATAAATGATAATATGAATACATATTACAATAAAAATAAACTATCAACTGAAATTAAAAAACAATTTCATAAGTATAATATCATAAATTAAGTACATTTTTGAGCTGTAATTAAATACTAACATTGGTTGATAAGTATTTTATTTGTACTAACCAAATATGAACCTAAATGATGTTCGAAATAAATTATTATTATTATAAAGGAATTTACGATAATTCGAATTTGTTCATCCGCCGAAATTTTCCCTTCAGATTTTAAAGGCGTATTCGAAATTCAAAACTTTCTCGAAGATCTAAATTTGATTTTTGAAATCGACTTTAGTTTGTCCTTGTTTGTCGTGAATTTAGGCAGAATTTTGTTAAATTCTCGTCGCATAACATTAACTCGGGAAGTTAAACCACATTAAAATCATAACATTAATATTAATCCGGAGTTTCACAACTTTATACATAATTGTGACTGTAATTTCTGCGTCCTGTTTTAATACCTACAATATTTCTCGCTGGGACACTGAATCACGTTTTAGTTTAAATTAAGGCTTTCTTAATGCCAGGTTGTATTACGGTGCTGACTCGAATACTAATTCGCGTCAAAGCCTGATCTTGTTAAGACAATGAAATACCTATTACTATATGTATATATAATAATGTGAAATATATTATTAGCAAAAGTAATTAAATAAATATTTAGAGACAAACATGTTACGTTTTTTCCATAAAATCTTAATAAAGTATTAGCATATATTTAGGTAAAAAGTTCAAAAATCAGATATAAAATTATCTTTCATTATTCTTATATAATGGAAACGCTGGAAACGAAGGAAAATGTTCAATACATTAGATGTTATATCCATGAGTAGTCGTATAAAAGCAGTATAAATGTAGGTACGTTTTGGTGACCGTAGGTCAAAATCAACGTCAGTCCTAGCTAAAGAATGCTGATCTAGTACCATTTTTAGTGCAGTAATGAGAAACTCAACCTTGTATTGTCCTATTTACTATTAATTATATGTATTGGGTCCAGTGCCTGTATTAAAATAAATAATTTGAATTTATATAAATAAAAGCCAGTAATTAATAGGCTTTGAAACTATTGGACCGATTTTAAAAATTATTTCATCTACTGGCAACGTTTACATTTATTAAATTAAATTACTTTAATTAAGTATTAATAAATAAAAACTACTTATCTAAACTATATCTTAAATGATAACTATACTAAATAAAAAATGTCTCCCAGATCATTGCCTACAGGTAAGGTACCCAGAAGGCTGCGAGCGTTTCCTCTTTGAATAGCTAAACTAATTCTTTGGGCGAGGTACAAACCAGCCTTCTGATCACCTGACCTGTCAAAAAGTTTCTTTTTTAACTCTTGATAAAGCCAGTAGTCAATAGTCATCCATCATATCATATGCATCAAATTTATTACATTGTTGCCGAAATTAACATTCATTGGTTAAATATTGGTATTGCAAATAATGTGTCGGGCTCGTGTTAAAGTTTTAAATCATATTTTAAGTTTATTATAAATAGAGCTAGTTGCATTAACATCCATTAAAATTAATTAATTAATTTCATTAGTTTAAAGCGGCATTACCCATACTAATTAGACATTCATTAGAGCTAAAAGGCGTCTCTAAACTTTAATGGACGTTTGTACAACTGACATTATGTATTATATTGTTATTGTGGGTGCTAATTATTTCATATTATTTTATATACGTTCTAATTTCAATTATTGTGAGTTTGAACGCTTAACAGATGAATTATTTCAAAGCGATTAGAAAGTAAATCGCTTTTTGCTCTAAATGATTGTTCAATGGCACCGCTTTGTTCACCTTCATACATAAAGCAAAGCAATCAAAGCGAAGTTTGCGTGTCACAGTTCGCGTGTACACGAAAACCAACCGTCTGGTACAGCGGACCTTCTTAATAGCCACCACACCCTCGCCTCGCCTCCGATCGAAAAAATCTACAAACTTTCACGGAAACTCGTCTCCATGAGTACTGTAGGGTGGGAAACTGTGTCTGCCTAAATTTCATATTTCGAATTCTAAACAAAGTTTAATAAGCCGCTATTACGCACGCTAACAACCTTTCTTCTATCTATCCAAGTTTACGGCTTCAATAAAACTCCATTCGCGAGTGTGAGAGCTACGTACGAGACGGCTCACCCGCGGCGGCTTAAAAGCCTCGCGAATAACGACGCGCGGGGAGCGTCGCGACGCTCAGTCGGGCGCCGGCCTCGTGCAGCGCCGGTCGCCGCGCATGGCCCGCGTCACCTAACGCGGCATGCGGCCCGCGCTCGCCGCGCTCGCGGCTTGCTGCGTGGTGGCCCGCGCCGAGCTGCCATCCGCACGCCTCGCCCCGCGCAACACCACCCCCCACCGCATCTTACAATGCGAAGAGGGCCTCGTGCTACCCGCCTGGCGGCCTCTCGAGGATGTCCCCACCTTCGACCTCGCCATCCGTGGCCTCGTCTACTTTGTCAGTCTCATGTATCTCTTCATCGGAGTGTCCATCGTCTCCGATCGTTTCATGGCCGCCATAGAAGTCATCACCTCTCGAGAAAAGGAGGTGCGCGTGCGACGGAACGGCAGTGAACAGATCATTGTAGTTAGAGTATGGAATGAGACCGTTGCCAACTTAACGTTGATGGCATTGGGATCTAGTGCTCCTGAGATTTTACTTTCTGTTATCGAGATAGCCGGGAAGAACTTCGAGGCCGGTGAACTCGGGCCGGGCACCATCGTCGGCTCGGCCGCTTACAATTTATTTGTAATAATTGCTATATGCGTTATGGTGATTCCCGATGGAGAAGTGAGAAAGATTAAACATCTTCGGGTATTTCTTGTGACTGCTACATGGTCAGTGTTCGCTTACGTTTGGCTCTACCTCATACTAGCTGTAATATCACCGAGTGAAGTTGAAGTTTGGGAGGGAGCTGTTACTTTCCTTTTTTTTCCGGCGACTGTATTAACAGCGTATATTGCGGACAGAAGACTTTTGGTCTATAAATATTTAAAGAAAGGTTATCGAGTGAATGAAAGAGGAGTGATTGTAGAAGCAGAGGGCGACGGTTCTGTTGAAATGGCGTTGAAGCCTGGTGGTGACGATTTTGCTTCTGATGACGAGGAAGGAAGAGAATTAGAAAAGTCCCGCAAAGAATACGTTGCTGTACTAAGAGATCTGAGAAGACAGCATCCCGAAGAAGACTTGGAAACTGTAGAGCGAATGGCTTTGGAAACATTAATGGCCCGTGGTCCAAAATCACGAGCGTTTTATAGAGTGGCTGCAACTAGAAAAATGACGGGAGGAGGAGACTTTTCCCGTAAAATATCAGAGAGAGCTCAAAGTGACTTAAGCGAAGTAAAAGCAGAGTTACAGAGACGCGAATCGAGTTCCCCATCTATCGAGAACAAAGGTCCGAATGTCCGTTTCGACCCCGATCACTATACTGTGATGGAGAACTGTGGATCTTTCGAAGTTAGGGTGGTAAGATCAGGTGATTTGAATGGGGAAATATCTGTCCAATATACAACTGAGGATGGAACCGCGGAAGCTGGTTCTGACTACGTTGCAGCTCAAGGATCGTTGGTGTTCAAACACGGCGAAGTTGAGAAGACCTTTAGCGTCCAAGTGATAGACGACGACGTATTCGAAGAAGACGAGCATTTCTACGTGCGTTTGGTATCGCCTCGAGGTGCTTGTTTGGCATCGCCTTCCACGGCGACAGTGGTGATATTAGACGATGATCATTCCGGTGTGTTCTCGTTCCCCCAAAGAGACTTTGAACTGACGGAATCTGTGGGCACATTTGAATTGAAAGTTATGAGAACGGCTGGTGCACGAGGCAAGGTGCGGGTGCCTTATTGGACGGAAGACGGTACTGCCAAGAGTGGAGCGCAGTACGAAGCCGCACAGGGTTACGTTATCTTCGAAAACAACGAAACTGAGTGAGTATTGATTGTTTGATTTTTCATCATTTTTTTAGCAGAACATGAATTTTAAAAATTGAATAAAAAGAATGTACCATATTTAATATCCATTTGCATGCAATCTTTATTTGCATATTGGATGCATGTGCGTTTGTACGCAAACAAATTGACATAAATTCGTTGTTATTGACCTATTATTTGATGTAATTCGCTCATTAATAACATTCCAGTAAAATTTTACATCTAATGAAATAATATTTTATGTACAGTGGGAAAATTATTAATTAAAGCATGTATTTTTAATAATCCTATTCTAAATAGGATTATAAATCACTATGATTACAGTTGAGCAAAATATGTGCCAGTCACACATAAAATAAAAACTCTACCTTTATATATTTCTCTGACATAAAGAATCCGATCGCTTTTTCCTTTTTGTGGAGTTAAATATTCATAGTAGAGAGTAGAGATAGGTAGGGTACAGGTAAATTATACTATAATTATATACTTAAAACCTCTTCATAATCGAAGACTAAACTAAACGACTATCGAGAATTGAATAGATTTGCTGATAAATAAGACAATTGTCTAAAATGCTTAGATTTCAGTCGAGTTAGTTTATCATTCAAATTGTTTTATATTTGCTTTCTGTAACAGCAGTGTTGATAACATTTTAACAGCTTCATAAAGCCAAGCCAAAAGTAAAGTGGACCTAACAGCGTTCAATAGTACTGATTTACTGAAAATTGTTCTAAGTAATCTCATAAAAGATTATAAAATGAAGTAAATATAATGAGTAATTATAAAATGTGTGCGACCGAAAAATTGAAAGCCGCCGTCTTATGGCTTCTGAAGCCGTAAAAGTACGCAACGTAGTATAGATTGGTATTAGTTACGGTTCGTTACGGGCGAAACGTTAGCCTCTGATGGCGGCCCTCGCCATCCACTAATCCCTTTACAATCTTTAGATAATCCAGGGTTTTATCACCTCTGATTATTGAGGAGTTACTCGTGCAAGCTCTATGAGGAACTCCTTGTGATAATGGTTTTCGAGGATAAGCTACTTCCATGTGCCCTACATGCGTTAGCGGGTTGATAACTGAATACAAAGGGCCTTACTAAATTTATTTCGATTTGGTTTGGTAGATTCATGCAAATGTGCTTAACCCGAAATATTAAACGTAGACATATTTAAGTATCTAATAATACATTATTAAATATTGAGTACGTTTTGATCGAACGAAATGCTAATCAATTCAGTTACAATGTAATTAAGTGTAAGAGTAGCTCGGTGGCGTAGTGGATAAGCGCCGCGGCCCGCGATCGTATTTTTATTAATTTTCTTTCCTTTTCTTGAATATTCTTTCCTAACCCTTTTTAAATCTTTGTGTTTTTCTGCTCTCAGGCATTCTGGTATATCTTTGCTAGACATTGCAATAAATGGCATATTTTCAATATTATTAGAAACATTTTTCAAAGCATAAACATTCGATAACATTATGCAAAACAATATCGTTCCCAGAAACAAAAAGGATAGAGAACCTTACGCCAGGCCTTTTGCACCTCTAGCAAAAAAATGCAACGTCGAGTGGCTGAATGAATTGGAGGGAAAAACACAAATTTGATGTTATTTTTTCACATAGCTCTATTACTTTAATGAGTAGACAAGTTATCGCAAATTAGAACCTTAGTAACTGCAGTTTTAAGAGCCCATAGAAGTATTATTGTTTCAGAGTAGTTTTCAAACATAGCGCTATCAAACCATCCCGAATTTGTCGAATTATATCTTATATTTGAAGTAGCTCGGTGGCGTAGTGGATAAGCGCCGCGGCCCGCGATCGTTGTCGTTAAGCAACTTTCGCAAGGGTCGGTCACGGGATGGGTGACCAAAAAATTATTTTCTCGAGCTACTCCGTGCTTCGGAAGGCACGTTAAGCCGTTGGTCCCGGCTGCATTTGCAGTCGTTAATACCCTCCAATCCGCATTGGGCCAGCGTGGAGGGTCATGGCCCATCCTCCTTAACCATCCATAAGGAAGGCCTGAGCCCCTGCTGTGGGAACGTAAAAGGACTGGTGATGGTGATGATAGTAATTAAGCGGTACGTTTACAGATAGCCCTCGTGTTATAGCATTTTGTTTTCGTCAGTGAAAATTCTTACACTATTATTAATTCCAGTATTTATTAAATTATATTTATTAGTAATTTCTTAAAATTTATACTTTTGTCATTCGTAATGCTATATTTATCACAAGCTGTTTTCCTGTGACTTTGCATGCGTAAAGTGCACACCCAAGTGTCACTTTTCTCAGGTGCGCCATAGGATATCTCACTTTCGATTTGAGAAAAGCGACGTTTTGTGTAAAAAAATCGTTTCTCGAGTTGGTTATGCTACTCATGCAGTAGTTCGGAGGGAAGGTTTCATTAAATCATTTATTTTAGTCCCATTTCTTCCCATTTATAATTTTAGTATATATGTATGTAGAAAATATATTAAAGGCCTTTAAATTCATCATCTTAATGATGATTTATAATCACCCAACGGACTTCGATGCGATGTGTAATCTTTGATACAATTCAACATTAGTAAATCTCATACCGTGCAAAGCCAGCCTGGGTCTCCCCTCTACAAATTAATTTTAGAAAAAAATTTCATAACCACAATTCCAATGTGTGTACTGTTTACCCAAAAATAACCATTTGTGCATATTCAAAAGACCAACGCAACAATGGACAATTTCGGTGGAAGTTCTTTGAAATAGAATTTTAAACCTAATAGTATAAAATTCTATTTAGCATTACTATTGTTAGTTGGAAATGTCGTTCTAAATGTGATTCCAGTGAAATAGCATACGTCAATAGCATGGTCAATTGTAAACGCAAACAGCGGTCAACGTAAGCGGTGAGATTTCTCAACTCAATATGGTATATTTAGATTACACAAATTTAGTAAAACTACAAAGAGATGGCGTTGGCATTATAATTTGATGATTTTAGCTATATTAAAACCTTAGCTCGGTTTGTATAGTACAGATTAATGCATTAATGCCACGTTAACCGCAAAATATGCATACCTATATTATAAAAAGTGTGTGTTGTGCTTCTTTAATTATTCTGTAATTATATCGCCGTTTTGATAAAATTTGTTCCATAACTAAATCTTATCAAAACCATAGATAGATGAAGAACTAGAATGACATGAGCTACTCTTTCAACAAAAAAAAACGATCCTCGCAAGCGACGCGGGGATGAGACCTAGTATTTATTATAAGATATCCGATTACATAATACTCGTAAGAATGATTGGATTTAAGATGGTCTAGCAACTGGATAGGTAATTTCTTCCAAACTCATTATATCTCAAAATTATCTTGTTGCCATTATTAAATTATTATGTTTTCATTATAAGATCATAGTTTTTTGTTCTCTATTTATAATGTATTGATCTGGTAATGACATGGTTTTGTAAATGTCGTTACTCCCATTAAAGCTGGTGAGTTTCTTGCTCATTTTTGTTATCAGCGGAGTGAAAAAAATATTGGATTATTAAGAAGTCTATTTGAATAAAGATTATTTTGACTTTGCCGTTATAAAAGAACATTAACATTTTCTTTTATAAAATTAAAACATTACATATTATAAAACTACCATGACCTTAAAGACATGCAGTAAATACACTTTAGTGTTATAAAATTAACAATCATTTCAAGGGCAGCAATGCATGAATTTAATATAGCCTTCACTTTGTTTTACTACGGTAATAACCTTAGACCGAAATAAAAAACCTTACATTTGAATATTTTTATAAGTTCTTAGAAAAATTTCAATTCATTACAAAAACCTAATAAATAAAGTATAGAGAACAAGAGCATATTCTTATAATTTCTTTCTGCTTCCTGGTGTAAGATTTACGAGCCGCTGGTGTAGTTTTATGTTCAATAAATGAATTGTAGGATCTTAATGGTGAAGCAGTAAGCTCGTTTGATTTGTACATAAAATATGACCAAAATTTATTATCTCACCCATCGCCGTATTTTTGCAACTGCATTACAATTTCCCATCCACCGATTTTTCATTATTTAAATGTACCGATCAAGAAATGCATTGTAATTAAAAATGACATACAATGCTCAGATAAGTAACTATAAAGCCTTTATGTTATGAATATGAAAGCTCTTCATCGAAATACTAGATATCTTTAGGAAGAAATCAACTGGGATTCGATTGATAAAAAATATACCACTTGAAATATTTATTGTACAAATAGGCACTATATCTTACACGATCCCTGCAAGAACGATGTGCCTATTTGTTTCTCAGTCGAATGCGAATCACTATTTTGAATGAAAATTAAGATTTAATAGAACTTACAAAGCAATGCTTAAATCAGAGATCCTGGGAATCGGAGCCAGGACCTCAGATACAGCGATACCTTATGTTCCGTATTATTAATTAGCTGTAATATTACAAATAAGCACATAGCACTCATCTTAATCTATTATTATCATTTATGTTGTATGCAATGATTAAGCTCATAATTTCTAAAGAAAATGCACCTTCGTGCAAAACGAAACGTATGACTTTACGTTGTAAGTGCTGCCACCGATATATATATAAAAAAACAGAGAAGAAGGTCTCCGATCGCCGCTCGCACAGCTGGCATGTTATAAAAGTTATATAATTCATTTCATGAAACCTAGCCCAATTTGCGACAAGTATTTGTTGATGCAAGCTTTCAATTATTATTAAAGCAGCTACTTACTGGATCCTCGTATCAAGATCAGGAAAGGCGGTGTACTCGGCATTGCTAAACTAACTTTCTTACACACCTTATATATGCGAACTAATCGGTCGCAGACGACTTTAATATGATGATTATATTAATCAAAATATTTTTTAAAGTATGTGTTATTGTAGAAGCTTTTATCAAATTCCCTTCGTTAACCTTTTTCTGTAGCTTGCGGATGATACAGAATGAGTACCTCGGTAGGCTATAATAGATAACTATCGGATAGCAAATA